AGGTCAGGGGACCGCACGGGAGCGCTCCACATGCTGGGGGTATCACCTCCAGGCAGCCAGACCGACGTCGCGCCGAGCTGGCTGGTGCAGTCGGCCACCTCCCACAGCAAGGCAGAGCACCAGAGAAACGAGAGGGTGGCCGCCGACCTGAGGCGGCGGGGCGGCAAGGGCGACAAGGGCGATAAGGACAAGACCAAGAAGGGTCCCCCGCCAGGGGGGGCCAAGAAGGCTGAGTGACAGAGGGTCGCCTCGGCTGGGGCAGCAGCTACCAGCCGAGGCATTGAGTGCGGCCGATGGGTCCAGAAGCAGGTGCTAGACGGGACCCACGGGCTGCGCGTGTTGTTGCACACGGCGCCTGGCGCCAAATTGTACCCGATCCCTTTGGTGGAGGCTCCTGGGCGGCCACGCAGCGCGTCCAACCGCCTCCGCCAGCGTTTTCACAAGAAGTTCGCCCTGATGACTTTGGCTAATGAGTACTTGTCGGCTCTGAACGCCATGCATCGGGGAGGCTGCCGAGAGCTCGCACGGGGGAGCCGTGATCGAGATCGTTTGAAGGAGATGCTCCCCAACCGCCAGCGAGTTCAGCGACTGGCTCTACGTGAGGCAGCGCGGCTTCGAGAGGCGCGCCGGGACTGGGGTCTGACAGGCGCCCAGGCCATCGAGAAGTTGGTGAAATCGGCAGCTCTATCATACACGGGAACCCAGAGGCGCAAGACTGCGCATGAGACCCTGCGAGCCGATGCTGTAGATGAGCCCCATGCATCCCCGAGAGGCACCCATGTTGTCCGCGTTGAGTCCAGAGGAAGCGGCCTTCTACTCCGAGGAGGCCCAAGTTGTCGCGGCCCCAGAGGCCCGCTCGCAGGCCATCTTTCGGGAGCTCGAGCAGCAGTGCGAGTTCGTCGGAGGATCTGAGGAGGAGTACGCTAGGTATTTCCTGAGACAGGAAATCGCCCCCAATCTCTGGAAGTTTGGGTTTCGAGAGGACGTCCGAGCTATTGCAGGATTCTCAGTGGTGCCCAAGGAAGACCCAGCTAAACAACGTAAGATTATCATGATGGTGGCCTCGAATGATATGTTTCAAGATGCACGTCCTCGCGAGGAGCACGGGCTCCACGGCGGGGCAGCCCTGGCCAGTGTGAACGTGCCGAGCGATTTCGTCAGCGCGTCGGCCTTCGACGAGAGCAATGCTGCCACCTCGGTGGAGGTGCCTGAGTGGATGTGGGCGTGGCAAGCTGCACCCCCTATCCGGGCCGGCCTGATCTGGGCTGTTCTTCCTTGGGGCGTCCGGGGGCGGGCCAGGCCTGAGACTGGATCTACCCGATGTGGAAACGCCTAGTCATGGGGGGTTCGCACAGCGCCCACATCCTGATGAATATTAATATGACCAGTGTGGGCCGCACGCTTGTTCGCAGCTGCGGCCTGTGGCGGGGCTACTCGGAGGAGGATCTCGACGTCAATGAGGAGGGCCAGTTTTTGGGTAAGAACGACGAGGATTGGGCCCAGGAGAGCATAGCTAAGAAGTCCGAGGACGCAGGTAAGGGGTTCACCGTGGACGGTGGGGTTCAGACGGTTGTAGAGGTTAAGACGTCGGGGAAGGATGTCGCTGTCGCCATGCACCTGTTCGCAGGCCCGAGGAGGCCAGGGGATCTGGAGGAGTGGCCCCATGTCTTGGGGGCCGCGCGCGGCCTGGAGATCTTGGCGCTCTCGTGTGACCTCGAGCTGGACCCCAACTGGGACCTCGCCATTCCTGGGACCTTCCAGAAGTTGCGGGGCCTGGTGGCCCAGGGTTACATTGACGGGGTTGTTGGAGGGCCCCCCTGCTCAACGTGGTCTCGGGCCCGCTTCGTCAAGTTGCTTGGGGGTCCGAGGCCGCTGCGTTTTCGAGGCGAGTGCGTCTGGGGCCGCCCCGACTCTGAGCTCACAGAGGCTGAGAAGGGACGTGTCCGGGAGTCCAATCTCTTGACCCTGAATTTCCTGTCTCTTTGCGAAGGAGTGTCTGCCCAGGGAGGGGTGCACATCCACGAGCATCCCGAGGGCCCGGGCGAGGATCCCTACCCCTCAGTTTACAGCGCGGAGGTGATGTGTGCCATGGAGGAGCGCACGTCGGCTGCGCGCGTGAGTCTTGATCAGTGCGTGTACGGCGGCCTGGCTCGCAAGGCGACCGCGCTGTCGGGCACGGCCGAAGGGCTTTGGGAGGGGGAGTGCCGATGTGATGGAAGACGCCAACACCACAGGAGCATCGGGCGCATTGCGGGAAAGGGGGGCCGGCCAGACTTCGCGACCACACCTTTGGCTACGTACCCGACGGCCTTCAGCCGTTTTCTGGCTTCTTGTCTCATACGGAGCTTCGTCAGGAAGCGCCGAGAGAGGTCAGATCCGCTTGCAGTTGCTCTTCCCCCGCGTCGTGCTGCTAGGCTTTCGCAATGGTCTAGGCCGAGCAGTTCCCGGCACGAGCGGGGGCTCCGCATACTCAACGAGACTAGCGTCAAGTTGAAAAACCCCGTCTTGGACAAAGGTGATGTAGGCTTTACCTCCATACTGACGATGGCCTGGTGATGACGGATGGCCAGGACCGCGTAGGCTCCAGGGGGGCCTCGAACGTTTTCATGCATTGAGCTGCCGACGACCTAGTGGAGCTGGGTATTAAAGTTACGGACCGCCGTGAATCAGACGAGATGGACAAGGTCGTAGGTTCTGAGATCCAGCAACATCCTGCTCGACTTAGGTTACCTGCTCCGAAGGCCGCGGCCCTGTACGAGGCCATGCTCTACCTAGAACGTCGCACCTGGGTGTCTCTGGATGCCGTATCTTCATTACTGGGAGTCTGGGTTTGGGCGGCGCTGCCGGCTCGACATTGGCTCGCGGCGCCGCAGCATATCTTCCAGTTTGCTAAGAAAAACTCGGGGCTCCCTGGGCGTCGAGGGCTCCGCAGATGGTGGCCCAGTGCTCTGAGAGAATGGAAGGTTATGAGGCGCGGGCTCTTGGGGCTCTACGTGGACCTGGGGCCCCCCCTCTCGGAGGTGGTTTTGGCAACGGATGCCGAGGGGTCGAACGGCCTGGACTGCGGGGGCTACGGTATTGTCGCCACCGTGATGTCGGACATCGAGGCCCGCCTGCTCTGGGAAGCCGGGACCAGACCTGGATGCGCTCTCGCCCGCCTGGGCCAGGAGAAGCGCGTCCTCGAGAAGGCCCCCCGCTCGTTGCACCCCAACCTCCCTGTCAGTTCGGTTCCGATACGGCTCGCTCCTGGATCCCAGTCGCTGCCGGTCGGTGGAGGTGGGGGGAGCACATCACGGTGGGGGAGATGAGGGCCGTCGTTCTGGCGCTGGAGAGGCTGGTGCAAGTTCTAAGTTTCTATAGGAGTAAGGTGATATCTTCCGAGGGCAACATGCCTTGCTCGTGCGCCATGGCCAAGGGAAGGTCCGCGGCGGGCCCGCTCAACTTCCTTCTCCGCCGCCGATGCGCCCTGTGTGCTGCCGCAGAGCTTCGCCTGCTGCTGCCCTGGGTCGAGACGTGGCGGATGCCTGCTGACTGGGTTTCGCGCAGTAGGACATGGAGGGAGGTGTTAGAGGGCATCACGCAGGATCAGGACCAGGGCGTCCAGCAGGCCAGAGCGATCCAGACGTGATCGATGTGCATGAGGAGGGGAGGGTCTCTGCTTCTACCGTCCTCAAGTATAAAGAGGCGGTGGTTCCTTTTGTCAAGTGGTATGTCAGAGAAGGGGTGGAGCCGTTCACCCCGGACCAGTGGGATGACGCTATCATGGACTTCAAGAGGTTTGGGGGCTCCGAGGCTGTGGGGATGGGTGTCCAGACTAAGTCCAAGTTCACCCTGCTCCTCGCGGCGGTGGAGTTCCGCTTTCCGCGCATATGAAGGGGAGACTCTGTCGAGTTAGGGCGGCCCTCAAGGGCTGGGACTATGCTCACCAACCTCGTCATACCGTCCCCATGATCAGTAACGTGTGTGCATGGATGTGTATTCATTTTTGTGCCAGGGGTGTGCCGCGCCTGGGTTTCGGCATCGTGATCCAGGGCAAGTTCGGGATGAGGCCGAGTGAGATGCTGGGAGTTGAGGCTGACGACGTCACCCTTCCGGAGGACTGGGGTTATCCTGGAGGCTGGGCCAGTCGTCAACGGTCTGGGGATCAGGGCAATGACGAAGGCCAAGCGCCCGCAGTCTGTGTCTTTCCTGGAGGAGCTTGAGCCGGGCCTCGCAGTGGGCCTCGGGATTCTTCGTCGTCATACTCCCAAGGGCCAGCGGCTTTTCCCGTACTCCCTTGCCCAGTACCGTACCCTCATCAAGACCGTGCAGGCCTCGTTCAACCTTGGCGTCGGGTGGGGGCCTCACAGCCCCCGCGCGGGTTTTGCTTCGGAGTCGACCGCCGTTGGGATCCCTTTCGAGCATCAGGGAGATGGGGAGGTGGAGGGTCGACTCCTCGCTGCGCATCTATATTGATGTGGTTCAAGCGTCACAGGTAGGTACAGCTCTACGTGCAGCAGGTTTGCAGCCAGCCCTCGACTGGGCTGCTCGCTACTGGCACCCTACGTTCCGCCAGGCTTTCGATGGTTGGGTCCAGGACGCCCAGCATCAAGGCCGCGCTCCGCAAGGGCGCGGCCGCGCAGGCCAAGGGCGAGGGCGTGGAGTCGGGCTCGGAGGTGGGCTCGTGGTTGGAGGTGGGCAGCCCGGGAGCCAGATCGGCGAGGGCGCCCGCCACGCCGATGCAGAACCGCGCGGACACGCCACCTCCTCGGACCCCAGGGGGCCTGGGCATGGGCGGGGCCTACTACCCTCCAATGCCGCCGCGGGGTGCTACCACTCCGCCACCGTTCCCGGAGGCGCCGCCGCTGCCGCCATCCACGCCCAAGGTGAGTGCGACGATGCAGGCGGCAGCGGGCAAGCCTCTTGCCAAATCGCTTAAGGCGGGCAAGGGCGGCCAGCTACAGTGGGCGATGAAGTGCGCGCCGTCATGACCCCTTCTGGGCAAGCTCGTGCTGGCCGCCATGGCGCTGAGCATCCTCCCCGCCAGCCTCTTCCCCAACGCCGCCAGGGGCCTCATCGTCATGACGGACGTGGCGGAGGAGGTAGGATCCGCGGCGGGGAGGATCGTGACCGCAGGAGCGAATGTGAGCACGAGCGCAGCGAAGCTCGTGTCGGCAGTGACGGATGGGTCGATCGGCCTGGTCGAGGCGGCTTGGCGCGGCGTCGACCTGCTGGATGTCCAGGTGCTGGGCAGCACCGGCAGGTTCTTTGTCGAGGATGAAGACGACTGGCCCGCCTTTTTCCAGGAGCCAGAGGTCCAGCAGGTGCTGCAGTTCGAGCAGGAGTTTCTTCGGCCACTAGGCCGAGAGGCGAATTCACGCACAGTGTTTTCCGCTCTCCCAAGAGTTACCAGTCCGTGAGTTTTTGGGTCCGCTGGCTTCCCAGCGGCCACGTCGGGATCGCCTGGAGGGTGGTCGCGATCCGCTTTCGTCCGCAGTGGGCGAACCCAGCGTGGGGGCTGCTCGGCATGGATGAGACGGCCGAGGCACCAGCCATGGCTGAGCAGCTCAAATTTTTGGCGGATCCGTCCTTTCCCGCGCCCGAGCTTGATCTCGGCCCCGAGATGCTCCGTGGCGCTCCCGCCCCCCCTGGAGGTTCTACTTGCAGGCTCGTCCGACGTGTGCGCCGCGCAGTGGCGCGGATCCTTCAGTTTCTGTTTCCTTTCAGCAGGCGCGAGCAGCCGCGCCTCCTGGAGACAGACCGCACAGCGTATACGGGCGACGGGTACTCGTTGAATGGTACTGGCCTGGTTTCGGCTGGAGAGGTACCGGTCGCGAGCGCGGGTGGTGGTGAGCGTTCTTGAGCCAGCCAGCCCAGCAGCCCAGTCCATTTGAAGCATTCGAGTTTCAGTTTCAGGAGAAGTGGAGATTTGGAGGCCCCTGCATCAGATGCAGGGGCCAGGCTAGACACACGTGCAAGAAGAGCGTTGTTTGGTAACACCTGAGCGGCAGCAAAAAGTACATCCCCGTCAGTGATAACCTGTCCTAGGGTGGACCCCGACAATAGTGCTGAAATGGTTTAATGAGCTCGTGAATGGTAGTTTTCGGTGAGCACGTTGGGGCACGGGGAGGGAGCATAGAGAGCACCGCCGCCTCGTGTGCTCAAGCGCGCCCCTCCCGTGTCGCCGATCGCAGCCTGACCCTTTTTCTGTGTTTCCCTGCTCCCGTCTCCTCGTCCCTCCCTCGCGTTCTTGAGCCAGCCAGCCCAGCAGCCCAATCCATTTGAAGCATTCGAGTTTCAGTTTCAGGAGAAGTGGAGATTTGGAGGCCCCTGCATCAGATGCAGGGGCCAGGCTAGACACACGCGCAAGAAGAGTGTTGTTTGGTAACACCTGAGCGGCAGCAACAAGTACATCCCCGTCAGTGATAATCTGTCCTCGGGTGGGCCCCGACAATAGTGCTGAAACTCCCTTTTCGCCGAGTTCGCAATCGGGCGGGAAGGGCTGGCAAGAGGTCCGTTGAGGACGCGTGACTTCGGATATCGTCCCCAAGATGAGCTTGACGCCCTTTGTCAAGAGGCCGAAAGCACGCGCAATCTCGCGTGTGGCCACGTGGTCGTAGCCAACCGAGTCACGTGCCAGCTTAGCGAGGAGGAACGCGGCTTTGTATCTCTCTTTGTTTTGGCTTACGAAAGTGGGGACATTCCGCGGTTCCAAATCATCAGCTCTGTCATCGCGCACGAGAGCATGCCGCCAACGCCGGCGGCGGCGAGTGCCCGAATTCGCTGACCAACAGAGGCCCGGATCTCCTGCGCAAGTGCTGCTACATGTGTTTCATGCGCCACGGAGACAAGCCTCACGGTGGCAAGGTCTACTGGCTCAGGCCAGGGACAGAGCTCGAAGGCCGAATGGTTCAAGTTGAAAGAAAAGTAGAACGAGTCGCCGCTGATGCATGCCAGGTTCATCGAGTACGCCATAGAGGCGGATGTCAGGGATGACAGCGGCGGCCCTGGGGTACCGAACGTCTCGTTGAAGGATATCTACGACGCTGTCCTGAAGGACGAGCGGCTGGGAGCTGCAGCGGACTTCACCACCGCTTTCGCAGGGTATAACCACATCATGCACGCGCTTGCGCTGCGAGGCGGCCCCCCTCAAGCCGAAGGAGTGGGCGCGGTGCGCGGTGCTGGCGCGGGTGAACGAGCCTGGGAGCGCCGCGGGTGGTGGGGGTCACGGGGGTGCTTGGGTAGAAGGTGCGGACGCAGGTGGTCGGGGCTGGCCGCGAGCCTGGCCGCGCGGCATCACCGCGCGATCGCGCGTTTGTCGCGCCCCATCGCTGCGAAGGGCGGCGTGGACAAGGCTGGCGACGAGGGGGCGATGCTGATCGAGCAGTCATGGGGGCGCAGCCTGGAGGGCCAGGTAAAGATGATCGACTTCGGCCACGGGGCCGCCGACCAGGAGGGAAGCCAGTCGATCCAGCGGACAGCAAATCTCGCGCCAGCCATCAACACCACAAGGGAGAAGATCAAGCTGAACTGTTTGTTGGAGAAGGGGAACAATCGTTGCAGTCATGGGCCCCGTCGGCTCCGGGAACGAGGGGCTTGGCAATGAGCGCGTCAGGCATGCGCCCGCGCTCTCGGAGGACAGGATCAGAGGGGGAAACGCGCTGGGACTTGCAGGTCCGCGTCAACGGCGAGGGCGGGCGCCTGTCTCAGGCCAAGTTTACGGGCAACTGCGCGTTTTCCGCCCGTCCGGGGGCGGCCCAATGTTGATGAGCGATGCGGTGCGCTGCGGGGGGGGCAGATCGCCGGCCCCCGCGCTTCGACGTCTCTGGCCCCGCGGGCGCGAGGCCAAAGACGGGCCGAGAGAGGGGGCGCCTCGCGCGGCCGCGGGGGCGCGCCGTGGAGCGCCAGGGGGCGGCCAGGGAGTGCCTGATCAGACGCGACCGCGAGCTCTTATCGGGGAGTCGGCGGGGCCCAGCGAGGCGTTCTGGCGATGGCCGCGGCGGCGCCCCAGACGAAAGATCACAGGGTTTGCTGCCGTCGCGCGGAAAAGGCGGCCGCCGGGCGACGGGGGCAGCAGGTCACCGCGCGGTGGCGCCGCGGCGCGCCAGGGCGCCAGCTGACCGCGAGGCTCGGGCGGCGTCGCGTCAGCGCTTGCATCCGCAGCGGGGTGGCCTGGCCTCGTGCTCCGTTCCAGAGTATAAGCCCTAACGCAAAATGTTTCGGACATGATGTGTCAGGTCCTGCGGTGCCACTGCATCTTTACGTGGATTCAGCGGGGCATTGGAGCAGTATGGATGTTGAATGCGAATATTTATATATATATATATATGAATGAATGTATATATGTGTGCTTATACAGCTATATATATACATATTTTTATATATATATATATATATTCTGTCCCTGACATCTCTTGCTGTGTTCTCGAGGGCGACCGCTCGACAGGATGTCGTTTCCACAATCCTTTTTGGCTCTGTAGTTTCAGAGGGCCGCGTTCGCACCTTCCATGTGGCCATGGTTGGCTGACCGCGGCGCCAGCCTCGCCCTCGGCTACCTCGGGTGCTGCCCTGCGGCGCCGAGCTGCCCGCCCTGCCCGAGCTGCAGCCTCTCCTGCGCGCGCGTCGCGTGCCCAGCCGCGCCGCCGTGCCCGGCTTGCCCCGCGGGGGCCTTCTCAGCGGCCGCGCCCCAGGAGGCGCCAGCCGCTCCGCGGGGCCCCCAGGCGCCGCCCACCGGGCCGTGCCCGGAGCCAGCGCCCTGCGCGGGCGGGTCAGGAGGCTGGTGGATCTTCCTGCTGGGCCTCATCGTCGGCGTGCTCCTGAGCGTGCTGGCCTGTGCAGCCTGGCGAGCGGCGGTGGCAGCCGCCCGGGCACTGGTCGCCCCTCGGGCGAGGCCTGACGCCCCCGCCCTGGCGGACGAGCTGCCCGCTGCCGCCGCCGTCCCAGGTGGTCCCTCAGAGGCGACACCATCGACCTTGAGGAGGCGGCATGGCCCGCACGCATGACGTTCCAGAGCGGCAGATCTTAGTAGATTTCTTCGACGACCCCAACCGGTTTCGATGGCATATGCGATTGCTCGCCCTGGCCACGCCCAACCCTGGGCAGTGGATATGTTCGACGCCAGATCTGAGCATTCAGTTCATCGACGTCACCACCCACAGGGTGATCCCCCTCACGCGGGACTTGGAGTTCCCGCGGCGGGTCAGAGGCGAGGCTTACGCCTTCGATCCCTTGACCCCCGAGGAGCTCCAGCAGGTCCGCCGAGAGGCCAAGGAGCTGCTGGCCGTCTACGGGCTCACGGGGGGCGCGGACGCGCAGCCCGAGGGTGGGCGCTGGCTGATCGCCGACCCCGCGCACCCGGGCTTCGGCGACGCGCTCCCCGCCGCGGCCCTTGCCGATGCCGACAGCCTCATCATCCGAGGCGACCGCGGCCTCGCCTGCGTGGACGAGGACTGGCTCGCCGTGGACAGGGTGCTGGATGAGGACCTGGACATTTGGAGGTTGCTCAAGAAGTCGACGGGCGCGGGCCGCGACAGGCGGATCCTCGGCGACGAGCGCGCGAACGGGGTGCCCATGCTCTCTCTCACCGCCGCGGCGAGGGCCAGCAGCAAGGCCCTTCGGCTTGGCTGGCCCTTCCGCGGCGACGCCTGCGCCCCGGAACTTGTCATGGCGCTCGTCGCGGCGGGGATCGTGTTCATCACCCACCATCTGGACTGGAGAACGAAGTTGGGGGTCAGTACTACATCGGGGGTGTGCCGGACGCACCGCCGCATCTGCGAAGGCCTCGACCAGGCCATCTGCTACGACCAACTCGACTTCGCCAACTGCGCGGTCATCGAGCACCTCGCCCGCTGGCTCTACGAGGTCATGGAGTCGGCGGTCAGGAGGAACCCGAAGGTGCCAGACTTCACGAACCTGGACGGCATCTTCGCGGCTCCCATGGCCGAGGACGGGCGGATGCAGCTGCCGACCTTCTCCAAGTGGGTCTCCTCGCTCCGTCGCGACGAGGCTCAGATCATGAAGCAGGAGCGGATCTGGATCGAGGGGCACGGCGTCGACCACTGGACCTGAAGGATGGGTTCTACCAGTTCGCGAACGACGACCTCGCGGACTGGTTCGGGTTCAACTACCCCGAGGCCGCGCCCGACTTCGGCGGCCCGCTGGTGCACATCCCTGCCGACGGCCGCTTCGTCCAGGTGTCGAGCGACACTCGGATCTTCGCGGTCTTTCGGGGTCTGCTGATGGGTTGGTCGTGGTCCCTCTTCTTCTGCCAGGATCTCTTGGAGGAGGCCCAGTGCAAGGGCCTTCTGAGCTTGGGTTGTGAAGGCGGAGGCCGCTTGGTGCACGAGAGGTGCCCCGCGCCCTTGCTGGCGCCCGGCTGTCCCCTGTCCCAGCCCTACGTGGACAACGCCAACGTCATCGGCCTCAGCCGCCGGGACACCGAGCACGCGCTGCGCGGCATCCAGCACGTCCTGGACTACTTAGGCATCGACTACCACGACCTGGTGGAGCCCACGAAGTTGTACACCACGGTGGGCGTCGTGCTCGACACGGCTGCGCGCCGCCTTCGCCACGCTGGGGCTCGCGCTTGGCGCCTGTACCTTGGCGTGGAGCATCTGCTTCGTGTGCGTCGTGCATCTGGCCGTGCCCTTCGAGTCGTGCGCGGCCACCTGGTCAACCACTTCATGATCACGCGGCCAGCGCTCGCGGCGCTGGACGAGGGGTACCGCTTCATCGCGCAGCACCTGGACGAGCGGGCCCCCCTCGGCCGCCTCCTGCTGGACGAGCTCCGCGTGGTGAAGGGTCTGCTGCTGCTGGCCGACGTGGACCTCGCCGCCCCCTGGTCGCGTGTAGTCTACTGCAGCGACGCGTCGGGCGGTGAGCTGCGTGGCTGGGCGGGCTGGCCTTTCGCCGTCGCGGGGAACGGCGGCTACGCCCTCCACGAGACGGCCTGCGTCGACTACGAGGTCATGCAGGCTTTCAGGTACCGCGAGCGCTGGAGGTTCAAGATGGAGGAGGAGGAGCTGGTCATGCCGGGGGCCCCGAGCGACGCGATCCGCGGCTGGGCCCCTGAGCCCACGGCCACCTCCGACCTGCTCATCGTCGGCCTCCTGGCCCCCAGCTCCAAGCCGTCGGTGATCGACCGACGCCTCCCTCGCACGAGGACCGTCATCGTGCAGGGCGCCGTGCCAGCTCTGGATGACGCACTCCTGGTCCGCAGCCGCTGGAAGATGATCGTGCGAGGCGCCTTCAAGTACAAGGCCTCCATCCACGTGAAGGAGGCTCGGACCCAGCTCCTCGGCCTCGTCCGCGCCTCGCGCGACCCCCGCATGCACGGCCTCCGCGTCGGCAGCCTGGGCGACGACATGGCGGCGCTCCTCCGCTTCGAGAAGGGGCGCGCCCGTGACAGGGCCCTCCTCCAGCTCTGCCAGGTCAGTGCCGCCCGCCAGATCGGGTGCGAGATCCAGTGGAAGCAGCGCTACTGCGAGTCAGGCCGCAACCCGACGGACGCCGACAGTCGTGCTGCTGACCTGGGCCATGTCCTACCTGATCATCCCCAGCGTGGCTGCTCGCGGGCCCTGACCGTCATCGAGTCGGCCAACGCGGGTCTTGCCACGGAGCCCGCGGGGCCCCTTGCTCGCGTGCGGCGCCCCGCACCCTGTGGGCCGGCCGCTGGCCTCCTGCCTGGCGGGGCGGCCGCGTGCCTTGCCAGGGTCGGCGCCTTCGCGCGGCGGAGGCCCCCTCGGGCTGGCGCCGTGCACGGGCGCCCATCGCCCGAGCTCCCTCGCGCTGCCCCACAGGCCCCGCGGCGCGGACAGCCGTGCCAGCGTGCCCACGGGGGCCGCAGCCGCTGCCGGGCATTTTGCGAGCTCTACGCGGGCACCGGCAGGCTGACGGCAGCCGTCAGAGACATTCGTTTGCACTGCACTCCACACCTCGAGATTGGAAATGATAAGCATTTCGACGTCAATCATCATTCTGTCTTTCGTACTTCATCACGTTGGATTCGCCTCAAGAAGCTTTGGTACATTCATCTCGGTACTCCGTGCGCTTTCTGGTCACTCGCCACTGGGCCCCATCGGGACTCTCATCAGCTTCAAGGGCTTCGAGCTGCGCGTGCTACCTTACGGCTGTTACGGCTATGCCATCAGTGCGGCATACACTGGTCTCTGGAGAACCCGGCTGGGTCCAAGCTCTTCAACTGGGACCCCTCACGGACTTCCTGAAGACCTCAGGTGGCAACTGGGCCCTCCTCCACTACTGCCAGTACGGCTGCGCCTGTAAGAAGCCTACGTACCTCGTGTCGAGCCTCCCAGAGATCACATCTCTCGAGCGCCTCTGCCAAGGGAACCACAGCCACGATATCCTCCAGGGCAAGGTATCCCTCGCGCCACCCTCTGGGGCCATCCGCAGCCATTGGAAGACCAGCCTAGCGGGAGCCTGCCCACCTGAGCTCTGCCGCCGATGGGCTCGCCTCCTCGCGGCTTGTGCTCCCCGCGCTGCACGCTGTGCTCATGCCGGCGACCCGCTCGGCGACCACTGGGAAACTGAGCTGGCGGCCAACTTCCCAGGCGGAGGCGTCCAGCCCCAGCGGCCGCAACCCTCCTGCCCTTCGGGGTCGCCGCCCGAGTGGCCCGCCCCGGCGCCGCAGTGGGGCGCCGCCTGGTCCAAGCCCGCCGCCGCTGGCGGGCGGGCGCCGGGCCGGGGCGCATGCAGCAGAGAGCGTCGGGGTTCGCCGGCGAGAGCGGTCGGTCGGCGCGGACAGGCCCTACCTCAAGCACCAGCGTGTCCAGCCCCGCACCGTCGCCTTGCACCGCGAGGCCCGCCGCAAGTTCAGCCAGTGGGCGGCCGAGCAGCACCTCCGCCGTGTGTCCATGGACGAGACAGACCTGGTCATGACGAGGTACCTCGACCACATGCACTTCCAGGGGCTCAGCATCGTCCACGCCAGGAACGCCGTCCACGGGGCGATCTTCGTGAAGGAGTACCCGCGACAATCGCCTACCACCATGTACCGTGCCAAGGACGCCCTGGCCGGATGGTTCAAGGCAGGGCCCGACCGCGTCAGAGATCCGCTGCCCTGGGAGGCGGCGGTGCTGATCGCCGACAACCTCGCCGAGAGAGACCGCGAGGGGGTCGCCGCCGCTGGGGCCCTGCTCGTCAGCTTCGACGGGTACATCAGGCCGAGCAACACCCTGGCCATCACGAGCCGCCTGGCGAGCCAGCGCCAGGCGGGATCCAATCCCAACTACCCCAGCCTCGTGGTCACGATCGCGCCTCAGGCCGACGACCACGGCCAGCAGCCCGCCCCATCGACCAAGTCGGGGGACCACGACTGCACCATCGTCTTCGGCGACCAGGCCAGCCTCAAGGCCAACAGGGGCATCTGCCGCGACGCCCTGCTCTGGGCGTCGAGGAAGGCCCGCCGCGGCAGGCCCCTGTTTGACATCAGCCTCGCAAAGTACGAGCAGCTCTTCAACCAAGCCGTGTCCGACGTAAAGCTGAGCTCTCTCAGGGTCGCGCCGCACTGTGCCCGACACGGAGGCCCGAGCTCCGACGCAGCTCTCAAGCTGCGCCCTCTGGAGGCCATCCAGAAGAGAGGCCTCTGGCGCTCGGCCTCCACCGTGCGGCGCTATGAGAAGCATGGCACACTCATGCGCCAGATTGCAAAGATGACGTCCTCCCAGCTTCGCTCTGTGCCCGCAGCCCTTCGAAGGCTGCAGAATATGTTCAAGATTTGATTTCCCACCCACCCTGCCCTAACAGTCCGTTTTACGGGGTACGGGATGAGGTGATTATCTCGGTGATTCAGGCTTTTCTCTTGTACGGTGGCGACTCCACAGCAGAAGCGACGTTCTTGAGTGGAACCCTCTGGCTAAAGAGTTATATGTCGCGCTTCGCGCACTGCCTGGCCTTTCTGCCCACGTCTGCTCTGGTCGCCCGTGTAGAGAGGCCTACTGGAGCGTAGCAATGTTCTGTCCCTGACATCTCTTGCTGTGTTCTCGAGGGCGACCGCTCGACAGGATGTCGTTTCCATAATCCTCTTTGGCTCTGTAGTTTCCCTCCCCCCCCCTCCCTGGGATGAGGTGATTATCTCGGTAAGTCAGGTTTTTCTTTTGTAATGTGGCGACCTCCACAGCAGAAGCGACGTTCTTGAGTGGAACCCTCTGGCTAAAGAGTTATTTGTCGCGCTTCGCGCACTGCATGGCCCTTCTGCCCACGTCTGCTCTGGTCGCCCGTGTAGAGAGGCCTACTGGTGCGTAGCAATATATATATATATAGAGAGATATATATATATATATATATGGACAGCCCCCCCCCCCCCCCCCAGCACCCACTCTACGCCTTCTCCCTCTTCCACGAAGCTGGAGACGCATCCTCTTCTCATCATCCCTGCTCCTTTCCGTTCCTCTTCCCGAGTCGCGTGTTGCAAGCGGGCTGTTTTTTTTTCTAACGCATCCTCAGAAGATGCAAGCGTCCGCTCCCCCCGTCTTTGGGAGAACAGGTATAAGATATCAGCGGCAGCGCTAACAAGAACGATCAGCGAACCATATGATTTCTCTGGCATTCCAGGGATGCACAGGGGTGCTGAGTGACGATCGCTGTGCAGGCTCAGGGATCCCAGGGATTCCAGGGATGCGAAGTCACGATCCCTGAGCAGGCTCAGGGACCCCAGGGCTTCCAGGGATGCGAAGTCACCATCCCTGTGCAGGCTCAGGGATCCCAGGGATCCCAGGGATTCCTAACCCTCCAACAAAACCGACCTGGGGATCCACCAGCGATCCCGCGTTCAGAATCCCTGGGATCCCTGAGCCTGCTCAGGGATCGCGACGTCGGTTGTCAGCAAACCATATGATTTCTCAGGGATTCCATGGGTTCCAAGGATGGCAAGTCACGATCCCTGAGCAGGCGCAGGGATCCCAGGGGTTCCAGGGATGTGAAGTCACGATCCCTGTGCAGGCTCAGGGATCCCAGGGATCCCAGGGATTCCTAATCCTCCAGCACAACCGACCTGGGGATCCACCAGCGATCCCGCGCTCAGAATCCCTGGGATCCCTGAGCCTGCTCAGGGATCGCGACGTCGGTGGTCAGCAAACCATATGATGTCTCAGGGACCCAGGGATTCCAGGGATGCCAAGTCACGATCCCTGAGCAGGCTCAGGGATCCCAGGGATTCCAGGGATGCGAAGTCACGATCCCTGTGCAGGCTCAGGGATCCCAGGGATCCCAGGGATCCCTAACCCTCCAGCAAAACCAACCTGGGGATCCACCAGCGATCCCGCGCTCAGAATCCCTGGGATCCCTGAGCCCGCACAAGGATCGCGACGTCGGTTGTCAGCAAACCATATGATTTCTCAGGGATCCCAGGCATTCCAGGGATGCGAAGCCACGATCCCTGAGCAGGCTCAGGGACCCCAGGGATTCCAGGGATGCGAAGTCACGGTCCCTGTGCAGGTTCAGGGATCCAAGGGATTCCCAACCCCCCAAATCTTTGCGAAGTCGCCAGGCCGATTTTGCTGGAGGGTCAGGAATCCTTGGGATCCCTGGGATCCTTGAGCCTGCACAGGGATGGTGACGTCGCATCGCTGGAATCCCTGGGATCCCTGAGCCTGCTCAGGGATCGTGACTTGGCATCCCTGGAATCCCTAGGATCCCTGAGACATCATATGGTTTGCTGACCACCGACGTCGCGATCCCTGAGCAGGCTCAGGGACCCCAGGGATTCTGAGCGCGGGATCGCTGGTGGATCCCCAGGTCGGTTTTGCTTGAGGATTAGGAATCCCTGGGGTCCCTGGGATCCCTCAGCCTGCACAGGGATCGTGACTTCGCATCCCTGGAATCCCTGGGATCCCTGAGCCTGCTCAGGGATCGTGACTTGCCATCCTTGGAATCCCTGGGATCCCTGCGAAATCATATGGTTTGCTGACAACCGACGTCGCGATCCCTGAGCAGGCTCAGGGATCCCAGGGATTCTGAGCGCGGGATCGCTGGTGGATCCCCAGGTCGGTTTTGTTGGAGGGTTAGGAATCCCTGGGATCCCTGGGATCCCTGAGCCTGCACAGGGATGGTGACTTCGCATCCCTGGAAGCCCTGGGGTCCCTGAGCCTGCTTAGGGATCGTGACTTCGCATCCCTGGAATCCCTGGGATCCCTGAGCCTGCACAGCGATCGTCACTTAGCATCCCTGATGCCTGAGAAATCATATGGTTCGCTTATCGTTCTTGTTAGCGCTGCCGCTGATATCTTATACATGTTCTCCCAAAGGCGGGGGAAGCGGACGCTTGCATCTTCTGAGGTTGAGAAGGAGGAGGAGGAGGAGGAGGAGGAGGAGGAGGAGGAGGAGGAGGATGAGGAGGAGGAGGAGGAGGAGGAGGATGGACGAGGTGAAAGAGGGGAAGGAGATGCAGGATCAAGTGGTTGGCTCTCCAGATGACGTTCATTATTCGATGCCGCCGTCTCAGGGCGAGAACCGAATCTGGCAGTAAAGAAAATGCGAGTGCGATCAGCGCGAACCGCGATGAAAATCAGTGGGTGCTGGGGGGGGCTGTATGTATATATATATGTATATATATATATATATATGTATGTATACATGCACATGCCTCGCCGCGGGCTTTTCGTTGCACGGTGGCCTCGGACAACGCATTTTTGCGCGTTTGGTTTCGTAGGGCGCCTTTTTTTTCATTATGGTTTCGAAGAGCGGGAGTTTTCTTGTCGGCGCTGTGGTCTCACAGGGCGCATGCTTGTATGAAGTCAGTGCAGAGCGCATGTTTCGATTTTACGGCATCGTAGATTGCATGCTTTCCGTATCGTGGCCTCTCGTAGAACCATCGGGAGAACCGTCGGACCATTGGAACAGCGATCGGGCCATCCATCGGGACAACTCTCGGGACAATCGGCGTGACAACCATCGGGAGAATCACGGAGCAACTCTTGGCAGACTACAGTGGGGGCGCTGAAGAAGGAACCCTTTTCATTGGGGAGGGGCTCCGTGTTCCTTAATTGTTTCACAGCTTTCCTCAGGTGTCCCTTAGGTTTTCGATCTGAAGTCGAAGTTCAACTTACGGAAAATAGGGGCCTCGTTCCTTATTCAGGGTTTTTTAGGTTAGCACCCCGAGTGTAGCCTTTCCCTTATCTTGCGCCCCCCCCCCCCCCACACCCCCTGGCACTCCGCAGGTGGGCACGGGCATCACCCCGTACGGCAACCTGCCCCTGCGGAAGGACCGGCCTTCTGGGTCAAAAGGTGTCTGGTAGAGATCGGTTTCACGTAAGAGTGACCCTTCGCCAGAGTGACCTTTGGTGCGGGTTCATCGAGCTTCCCCGGATCGCCGAGCGCGATGCGATATAAGGGGCCCGCGCCCTTGGGTTTGGCTCCCTCGCGCCCCCAAAAGCTGCGCACCAAAGGTCACTCTTACCCAGGGTCACTCTTACGTCTAGCCGAAGAAAGACTGGAGGAGGGAAGAAGGAGCGCAGTTGGCATACAGCTGGAGCGAGATATAAGATCGAGGTCGGTTCGGGGAGGGTGCCCTGATGCATTATATGGTTGTTGGGTATTCTTGTGCATCCTGGGGGAGGGTACTCATCGAATGTTCGCCAGCTTGGCCAGCGGAGGGTCTCATGTTTTTGACGGATGTTCTTTTTTCTTCGGCCCGACTGTATCAAAGAAGACATCGGTTTGTCAGCAGGTGACCCAAGGAAGTTCCTCATCTCACGATTGCCTCCAGAGCCGACGCAAGCTCTGGGGCCCTTCAGGACCTTCAAAGATCGACCAAGAGTGTTCCCAAATAGTTCTTATCGGACGTGCCTACGGTAGGGAGGTGATCGGCGGAGCGAGGAGTGAGGATGGAAGCGGAAGGGAGCGGGAGTCGGGAGGAAGAGGAAGAGGAGGGAATAGAACAGAGGAAAAGTGAGAAAGGTTGAGGGACGATGAAGAGAAAACGGAGGAGGAAACATCTTGAGGAGGAGGAGGAAGATGGATGATGATGATGCTGATGATGATGATGATGATGATGATGATGATGATGATGACGATGATGATGATGATGATGATGATGATGATGATGATGATGATGATGAGGAGGAGGAGGAGGAGGAGGAGGAGGAGGGGGAGATCAAGGGAGGGGGGGGTGAAGCCTTGGTAGTGGAGGAAGGATTGATTCAAGGAAAAGTGGGAGGAGGAGGAAGAGGAGATACAGGATGATACATATATGTCGGAGGATAAGGATACTTTGAAGCGTGAGGAGGGAGGAGGACACGCAGTGGGAGGAGGCGGATCCAGATTCCTGGTGAAGTGAAATCGCATTGCCGTCATGTGTAGTTGCTGGTCCTAAGCCGCCACAGTTGCAAATACATGTACAGCTTGCGCTTGCAAATCCGAGATGATGCCGAATGTGTAAGCCAAGATGCTATAGAACATTCTTAGCCATGTGGCGCACAGATGGACGCCAAGACTCCAACCCGCCGATAATGTTGAGTTGCAAGTTGGTTTGAACAGTTCAGACTGTTGTCTCAGCTTTGGGCTGCGCTTCTCGAGTGACATTGGTCTTAAGATTATGGGCTTCTCGTTCGAGCCAGAATGGGTTCAAGCAAGTTCTGGGAGGTATTGTGCGGAGAGCGCCAACCACGACAAGCACCAGAAGCACCGTGTTCTTTTGCACTGCCGTTTTTTGGTTTGCATCGTACAGCGTCGTTTGAGCTTGAGCCCTGGAATCGTGGCTTCAGCTTAGCTCAGGATCGTGGGCTTCGCGTGCGAGTCGAGAAAGAATTGAGGAGGTTCAGGGAAGGTATGGTGCCCTAGGCGCCGATTACGACCATGTCCCGAAGCGCGTATTTTTCTGTGCATTGTATTGACACTTGCATTGCGCATTTGTGTTCGAGCATGGGTTTGAGCGGAGGAGTCTAGGTTTCGCTTGAGACAAGAAAGGATTGAGTAGGCTACAGCAACGTAGGTTGCCCAGAGCGCCATCGACGACCTTATACAGAAAGGCGTGCTTGTTTGTGAGCTACAGTCTCTTTTGCACTGCGTCTTTCCTCTGCGCTAATTGAGTTTAGCTTGAGCTTCGGAGTATTGGCTTCGCGTGTGCGTCGGTGTGGCACCCACGCGTCAACCACGACGATGATGATAGTTTTTGTCGGCACTGCCGATTTTTATGTGAAGAGGTTTGTTGCACGTGGGTTGGCTTGACCTGATGATTAGTTTGCTCTGCGCATCCCTGCTATAGCTGGCTCTTCGGAATACTGGCTTCCAGTGTTAGTCTGCGGAGGTCTGAGCAGGTTCGGGGATAGTGCGGCGCCCAACGCACCAACGAGAACGACGACCATAAGCGTTGTTGGCTTGTGCACTTTATTTTCGTTTGTGCTGAAGTTCGTTGTCGCGCTGAAGCGCTTGTTTGCACTGAATTGGTTGTACAGGCTCACAGCCAAACCGGCACAAAAAGGGTGAGCAATGTTCTAAGATTGCCTTTGCATCCTTCCCCTTCGGCTTGTCCTTGGCCGCTGTCGCTGGCCGCGCCCCGCTCGCAAAGTGTAGACATGGCCTTCCAAGGCCTTTGCATCCTTACCTCGCATCCTTATTACAAAGGTTGACCGTACGCCACATCCGCCGACCCCCATAATTTGATCCAAGCGGCGACGCGGCCGGAAGTTGTGTGGTCGACGTGATCTGTATATTCGTATTTTCACACGCAGTTGAGGGATGTTTGCCGTCAATTGTGTACTTCCTTGGGGGGCATGGCCCATGGCCGCGTGGGAGCGTTGGTGGGATGCAAGTGGAGGGGTCGAGGTCCTCCATATGCGTTGGCGTGGATTATTTGGTCCACCTTCTCAACGACGCGTTGGCTTTCCGTGGGAGCGGGTACGAGGGGAGGAGGGCAGCCCCAACATTTGACGCGTTCGATGTACTGGGGTGTTGCCATTTTGCAACCCTGAGTCCAACCAGCTCTACACAAGGGAGCATAGCCATTACAGTTTGGGTCTGAAACATGGTCCCCAGGCGTACCTCGTGAGTCTCTGGCGGTTCGAGCAGGGCTGGCAGCTCCCGAACGCCCCGATCATATATCCTATAGGCCCTCTTGCTCCACCAACCTCGATCACATGTTTAGAACATCGTGTCTGAAGGCCCTCTTAGGCGGCGTCTTGGATCGCCCAGGGGACCTCCTGTGAGTCTGCTGGGGGCATCGTGGGGATTTCTTGGGGATCTTTTGGGATTGGTTGGGCAGCATATTCGTATGGTGTGCCGTCTTCAGGCGATCATCAGTGCCGCTTGGGCCAGCTCCGAGGCTCGTCGTCCCGAGGGGAACCTATGGCGCACGTAGACGGGTAGGACCCAACGTAGTTTGCCCTCACAGTTTCTTCGGGGCAGCGTTTAATTTGCGGTTGCCGTTTGGGCGCTGGACGGTCGGGCCATGGCGACGTGTTGTTTTGTGATTCGTGTCTTGCACGGTTGGTCCCCACACGTCTTGTCAACGCAGATTGCCCCAGGACGGCAATGCGCTCGATCCGAAAGTGATGGATTGTTTGCGCTTGCTCGCCAAAGACCCGCTGAACTCGGTGGTCGTCATCAGCGGCCGCAGCCCCGAGTTCCTGGACAGGGTCGGGCTCTCCCAAGTAGAGGGGCTTGGCCTCTGCGCGGAGTACGGGTTCTCGAGGGGGGAGGAACATACGTATTTGTTTCCCATTGCCTCGCGGTCTGGAGATTGGTGCCGCGTCCCCATGAAGTCAGGGCAGCTTTGCGCGGATGCTCCGAACGGTACGCATCCGTGAGCCCTGTATCCATGGGATCGCGCTTCGGATTCCAGACCATCAGGGCAGGGCTATTGATCTGTTCGTTGCCATTAAGGTTCTATTACCAGGATCCAGGGCGGATCGAGAAAGCCAGCAGGGCGAAGGGCGGCGGCAGCGAGGGCTCGGACCGCTGGAAGTGTTCCTCGGCCAGCACCACCGACGATGCCGACTGGAAGGACAGTGCCGGAGGGTTGCTCACTCAGCTCGGGTCGGCAGTGTCGGGATGAGTGAAAAGGGAAAGACCGACCGCAGAGGTGTTGGGCACAGATGGAATGAGGGAAATTGGCGGCGCGCACGCGAGGGTGTCGCGATGGGGGCTGCATTCAAGAAAGACGGGAAACTTCTTCACAGGCAGGGGGCTTCTCAGAAGCATCCTGGTTTTCAAGTAGCCTTACTCGAAGTATAGAGGCCCTTCCAAGAAGGCCCATATCTTCTAAGAACCCCCCGCCACGACCTCTTATACGGCCACCCCCCTTGTACGCGCCGCCAAGGACGAGGACGGACATCTGAGCAAGGGGTAGCGAGAGGTAGGCATCTGACGCCGTGTTTCTTTCACCACGTCGCCACGGCTTGTCGCTCTGGCCACATCCTCCAAGATGGGTACCCAGCAGTGAGCAATTCGGCACCGCAACGGTAGTGGCAGGAATGTGTCAGGAACGCGTCGCGTTCTTGTCGGGTGGCGCAGGAGAGTGGCGAGAAAGCGCAACCCGTCTTCGTCGACCCGAGCTCGGCTCCATTGAGGAATTGCCCGTTTGGGCGGTGCTGACCTTGGTCGTTCATGGCTGGAGAAGGAGTGCTTGTCATGACGTCTTCTCGACACTGGAGGTGTGACGAGAACGTCTTGTGCCGCTGGCGTTCAGGGTTGCCGTTCCACTCGGATCCCCTGCGGATCCCTCGCAGGCTCTGTCGTGACCTCCTGGGACCCATGGCGACCGGGAAGCATTTGCAAACTTGTTGGGTGGTCATTGTCCGCCATTTCTTTGAGGGCACGAGGCGGCCTCGGGCCACAGTCTCGGGCTGCCCCCTCGGGGCTGTTCAGGCCGCGCCAGGCAGGACTGGGCGACCTTCGATGCACCTTCAACCTCCCCAACCCGCCTCCTAGGCCCAGAGGAAGCCAGCGAGTTAATCTAATATACTATTCGGATGCAGCTCCTGGGAGGTTTCATGCAGCATCGGCGCTGGTATATCCGTGGTCGAAACACGGCTTGCTTAATTCCGCCAACAGTGGAGACCCATGCCAAGCAACACCCTGCTTGCCTCCAGGGTGCTCTGGGTTCCTTGGGTTCTCGATGGCTTTGCTATGGGAAGCGTAACGCTCCCACACCACAAATCAATGTACGTCATGGGGTCTCAGGGTTGGGTTTCTTGTGGCAGGGTTCTTGTGGTTGGGCCCCTATTGTAGTCTAACCCAGTGGGGATTATTATCCTTTGGCCGAATCTGCGCTAAACCAGTTCCATGGCTTTCTAAACGAGCCTAAAATCGATTGTCGTAGTTATTGCGCAGACCTCCCATGAGACCTCTCAGCCCATGCGCGCCCCCTTCCTGACACCGGTGGCCGCCCACCGAGGCGAATCTGCATTTCGCAGGTCAACCCCTGAGATCCGAACTTGCGAACAAACTGCAGCATCCCAAAAGTTCACGACCAGAGCCCTGGACCCCATCTTTCTGCATCATTTTTCGAGTCCAATCGATATGTGAGGGTCCCAGGGCCCCCAAACGGGGCGAAAACGCCCGTCGCGTAGACATGATCTCAGGGACAGCGTCCAGGGTGCTCGCGCAAGCGCCCGGCCCATACAGGGCGTCGACGCCCGTAGCCCCCAGCCCTTTGCGACGGATAGGTTTGCCTGACGAGACCAGGTTTGGGCCCGACCGCCGTCGATATGGACAGGTGGTGGTGTCACACACACACACTCACCTTGGTCCGTTGGCGGCGGGGCAGAGGCAGTCCGCCCCAGCGTGGGGCGAATCGGGGCAGCCGAAAGGCGAATTGTCGGGCGTGCAATAGGGAGGAAAGAAGACGAGGGCCGCCGCGCGAGGGGAGGAGGGGGGAAGCGCTCAGACGTGGAAGAGTTCCGCGACGAGCAGGCCGGAGCAGCCAGCCGGGGCAGCGGGGACCGCGGCAACAGCCGGGGCCGAGGCCAGGGCGCACCCGCGGGCGCTGCCAGGGCGCAGTGGCGATGGCGAGCAAGCAGGACTAGTCCAGGAGTCCGAGAACTGCCATCAGCAAAATATTGAATCCACCAGGTGGACCGACTCTGTAGTGCCACGGCCCTGGCGCGGCATCCGCGACAGGGGCTGGGCGCAGCGCTGAAGCGGCACCAGGTGGGTAGGGCTGAGCTGCATCGTCGCCACGGTTGGACGCAGCTCGGGAAATTGGTGCGTTTGGGCTTCGACGGGTTTGGGGATCTATCGAGATAAGGAGCTGTTTGGTTCCGGAAGGGCTCGCTGCACCCTGGGTCCTTCCACGGCTGTTCCTCCAGCATTCCTCATGCAATTGGGCGCTGTTGGGCGGCAAAATGGGCTTCGGTCGTAACCTGGCGTCCATGATGGCAGCAGCTTGATTGCTTTGTGAATGCCTCACGCGGGAGCAGCCGACCCAGAAGGGGGAACGACGACGACGACGACGACGACGACGACTACGACGACGACGACGACGACGACGACGACGACGACGGCGACGGCGACGGCGACGACGACGACGACGACGGTGACGGTTGCCATGACGACGATTACGTTGACGCTTTGGAGCCGCAAGCTTCTCCCAGGGAGGGGTGCTCCCCGCCCCGGGTGGTGGGCGTCACAGCTCCCGGGACCCCCCCTCCCCCCTACGCCTCTTGGGACCCCCTCCCCTTGATCCCCCCCCTCCGGCGGGGGAGGAATCAAAGGGAAGGGGTTGTCCTTGCGACTCGATAACGACGTTGCTCGATTTACCTCCGGCGCTTGAGGGGGAGCGGCGACGATAACGATGACAACTCAAACGGAAAAGTTTCTCACACGCGCCGACAGGGTCGGTGGATTCAGTTTGCCTGCATTCCTACGGAGACCCGGCAGGCCCATACGTGGCGACATGCCTATGTTTGGCAGCACTCGGGGAGGCGAGGTCGCAGTTGACTTTGCTCATCACGCCGTCCCGCTGGACTCCCCTCTGGACAGTTACACGCTTGACAGCACCCTCATCTGGATGTGCGTGGGGCGGCGCATTCTTGGATCCCCAGGATCTCAGGAAGTTGGCGACAGTCCAGGGGGGCCAGGCCCGATCTGGATCCGCGATCCGCGAGCGAATCGCCCACTCCTCTGGACTCCCCGGGGCCCATGAGCCTGCGACAGCCGCAAGTTCGGCAGCGCCTCAGGAGGCGACCCCACGGGCCCAGAAGAGTCGGGCGGGCGGCAAGGGGGGCGGTAATGAGCCTGGGGAGGTCAAGGATTGCAGGGAAGTGGCCCCGAAGGGTCCCTGGATGGCGCCAGACCTGCCACCGTGCCCGAAAGGTGCACGGAGGGCGCACGTTTCTTCCCCCCCCCGCTTTTTGGCCCTCCCGCTTACCGAACATTCGAGCAACAAACATGTCAGTCATACCTTTGGCTCGCAGCCCTTGTGGAGGCGGAGTCTCGCCCAGGTCTGCGCGGCGCCCCACCCCGCCAAACTCTCCAAGGGGCCACGGCTCCACGTGCGGCAGCGGCAAAGGTTCCACGTGCGGCAGCACCAAATGGAGGCGAAGCCCCACATGGGCCGCTCCAGGAACACGGGCCGCCACGCCTGAGCGAAGTTCTTCGCGCTTCGCGGTTCGTGGTCTGCTGCCGTCCTCAGTCTTCCGTGTTCTCTTCGTCGTCCTCCCCCTCCTCACCCTTCGGGGGCCGGAGCGAGGGCGAGAAGTTCTTCGCGCTTCGCGGTTCGTGGTCTGCTGCCGTCCTCAGTCTTCAGTGTTCTCTTCGTCGTCCTCCCCCTCCTCGCCCTTCGGGGGCCGGAGCGAGGGCGAGACGTGCTTCGCGCTTCGTGGTTCGTGGTCTGCTGCCGTCCTCAGTCTTCAGACTTCTGCCCGTCGTCGTCCTCCTCACCCTTGGGGGGCGGCGCGAGGGCGCGAAGTTGTTCACGCTTCGCGCCGCGCGAAGCGCGAACCTAGTTGCCTTTGCAGACAGGGTCTCGTCCTCCAGGGATCGAAGGGTTGACATGGGGAGCCGGCCGGGGGGCGGCGGTGGCCCACCACTGGTTCGGGCCAGCAGGATGGAGGGGCAGGGGCCCCCGTCGTCGCCACGTCTGGACGCGGCTGGAAAAACCAGACGGTCTCGACCCTGGGAGGCGGCTCCGCCTGCGGAAGCAAGAGCCTGCTGCCCAGGCGATGACGAGTCGGAGGCTCAGGGTTTCAGGAACCGGCCATATGGATCTGTCCGTCGCACCAGCCCGTTGGACCCTCTGGGGGCTCAGGAGGCTGCGGCTCATCTGCATACGGCAGCACCCTGGGAGGCGAGGTCTCGTTCAGTCGTGGGTGTCGCGACACTCCGCTGGACCTTGTTGGATCCGACGAGTTTGTTTTTCGGAGGTTACGTTTGGCAGTACCAGGCTGGGCAAGATCTAAGGGCCTGCGGGCTTTCTTGGTGCCTAGAAGGTTCCTCGTCCCCTCTCCTTCCTGTCCGCCTCCCCTATCATGGCACCCTCAATACACATGCTGTAGGGTTTGACTGCCTTCCAGGGGGGCAGCGCATATTACTCACTAGCACCGCCGACCTCGCGGTACTTACACAGAGACCGCAGTGAGTGATTCGAAGATCTCTCTGGGACTTCGGTGGCCAAATCGCAGACAACTTCTCCCGACCATGATCAAGTCCTGCGTCTGACACGGGTCGGTAGGTGCGCGACGCGCTGCTGAAATCGGCCAGGTGAGTTTGCAATTCCTGAACGCAATCGACGGCATACGCATAAAATACAAGTTGCCTGGTGTCCGCGCGGATCTCTGTGGTCGGCGCGGACCTCCCATCGTGTATGTTGATGCTGTGCTTTTCAGTGACCTTTGGCCCATCCCGCCACCGTGCTCGGGTTGTTGGTCAGAGGCTGCTTGGTTGCCTGCTGGGATCTCTTGGGGGGCCTTTCAGCAGCCTCATGGAGGCAATTTTGGAATGTCTTGGAGCCTCTCTGGGGTCTGTTGGGGCCTCTGTTGGCCTCGTGGGGGCCTCCTGGAGCCTCTTGGGAGACTCTCGGGGGCCTTCACGTTTCCAATCAGGAGATTGTGTTCGAGCTTATGAAGATGTACGCGAAGCGAGTGCAGGGCAGCATCATCGAGTACAAGGGGGCCGCGATCAGCTGGAACTACCGCGAGGTGGGCGCGCAGATCCTGGCCAAGGAGATGGCGCTGCAGCTGATGCGGTTTCTGGACCCGGAGGAGCCGGACGGCCTCATGCGTGGTCCCGCCAGTCCTAAGCTCGGGGCGATGGTGCAGCCGTTCGTGGGAGCTTTCGTGTCACGGGGTACCGTTCCCTTTTGAAACCAGAAAAAGTGAGTGCCTTTTTCCGTGCAACTGCCGCGGCGCTCTCGTGCCCCCGCGGCCGTGGTGCTTTGATGGCGGCAGGCCTGCGGAGGACGCTGAGCGTAGCCGAGAGGCGGCGGAGCTTCAGTGGAGCGGAGATGACACGAAAGTTGAACGAAAGCAAACGCCTATCGCGGGTGGACAGACCTCCTACCCTGACACGTCGATTAAGGAATTGGCCGTTTTCGGTTCGCGAGAGGGCGTCGCGGCCGTCATTTTTGCGGGTCCAGGTCCGTCGGTTTCGGTCCCAGGCCGTTTTCAGTAAGGGGAGGTTTACTAAAGGGAGGTTTGTCCACCGCCGAGCCTAAGCGCAATGCGAAGGCTCCCATGGACGGCTGCACGAGGGCGATCGGAATGGGTACGGAACAAATGGGGGCGAGAAACGGCAGCATGTGTTTGTCCATGTTGAATCAGGATTGCCGTGGGTGTCGCCGCGGACGACGTCCACCTCGCCATCTGAAGCAGCACGTCGCCTGCCCAACAGCGACCGCTGCCATGTGCGGGCAACATGTGTTGTTGGGCAGTGTGCCAATGTTTCCTTACCCATCTCGGACGCACCAGTATGCCCTCCCCAAAAAGCGCAGTTGGTAAGGCTTGGGGGCATCAGCCCCCCCCCCGCCGCGCCGCCGCCCCTGGGCAGCTATGCGCCTCAGGTTTTGGGGCTTTGGCCAGTGGGGCAAGATTTCTCCAAATAGGCTTGCCCTATAGGAGTTCTAACTCATTCTCTACTAATTGGTCCGTTGCCCCCCCTAATTCCTATGCCCCCTAATTCTTATGGCTATGCCTCTGCCTATGCCTATGCCTCCCCCTAACTCCTATGCCTACGCCTGTGCCTATGCTTGCTTGCTTGCTTACTTGCGCGTTTGCACGTTTGCTTGCTTGATTGCTTGTTTACTTGCGCGCTTGCTTGCACGCTTGCGTGCTTGCTGAGTTGCGGATTCCAATCATGATTGATTCTTATGATTCCTTGCTTTGAGTCGTCTCACCTATTTGGAGTCGACGCAGGTTGATATTATGAGAATAGTACGCTCCAAGATTCCAATGATTTCAATACTCCCTGTTTTTCCCCCGCACGTGTCCAGAACCGAGGGCCGCCAGATACTCCAGAATTCTTGAAGCTCATGCTGCGCCGATGCCATCATGTCACCACTCTGGTTCTTCCAGCACGCACTCACGCCCGCCGCCGCTGGGGCGCTCCGCGCCTCAGGTTTGGGGTTTTGAAGCCGCGCTGGGCTACGTAGCCTCGGGACTGGAGGCCAGCCTGGGTTGCCTCTGGGCGGACGTCTGTGGGCACCCCCGAACCTTGCTGCTACTCCCCCTTTCCAGAGCAGCGCCCTGCGCACCGACCTTTCAAGGGAGCGTCCTTCTGTCCTCAGACGGCTCTGCCGAGAGCTGTTTCACTCGAGTCGCCTCTGCTGGCCAGTCTACGAATTACAAATTCCTGAGTCATTTCATAGGGATAGGTTGTGGGCCCGCCAGATTGTGCTTTTGCGCCTGCAAGCCAGGTTATCCAGTGACAGTTGCAGCTGGCAAAGGCTACGTAGAGGTGGGACGCTCGGACATCAACAAAGGTATCAGCGTCAAGCGAATGCTTGCTGAGATACAGCAGCACATCGGGAACCTCGATTTCGTGCTTTGCATTGGCGATGACAGATCTGACGAGCACATGTTTGAAGCCGTCAGCGAATACCGCCAGTCCAAGACGAAAGAGGAGAAGAGATCATTCAACGCATCCACCAACTCGCTGGGAGCATTGTCGTCGCCGAGGCCGTGCGCGCAGCATGGCAAGGGATCGGAGAGGGGTATGTGCAGTGCTGCATGTGGCCTCCAGGGGCGGCTCCCTCCCTCCGAAATGATGAGAGGTTGCTTGCTGCTAGCAGTGACGCTCGCTTGGCCTAGCCTGGACTTGTGCATTTGTTCTCGGCAAGGACCATCATCTAGAAGAATTTGGGACCATCTAGTGAAAACATACACGCACGAAGCCGAAAGATGCAAGGGGAATGGACGTCCGCGCGATGGCGAGCTCAGCGAACTGCACGTTGTGAGAGAGCGGGGGCTACAGCAGCCAAAACCTCTGCAGGGAAGAACGAGCAAGTGAACGAGGCAGAGTCAGAGGCACACTCCAGAGGGCCGCGAGCACGAGAAGATCGGGGGTCAAGAGACGGGGGTCAATGCAAACGGGAGTCAGCCAGAGCGCCGGATCTTGCAGGATCCTGCAGGGCCAGGGGTGCACTGACCTGGGCTTGTGTGCAGGATCCTGCAACATCATGCAGGATTTTGCAGGATCCTGCAAAGTCGGACTGACCCAGGTGTGGATTGACCCGGTTCAGTAGATCCCCAAGAAGATTCGAACAAAGGGCGGAAGGAGGCAGTAGTGCCCCCCCTCCCCACGTGAGAAAAAATGTCCGTGACCTCAGAAGCGGGTCAACTATTTGCCCGTTTCAGAAACAACAGCAACACCAACAACAGCTACGTGTTGGTAGTTCTGATGCTGGATCCTTGGGGTAATGATTGACAACCTTTTGTGCCCAATTGCCCCACCCTTGCGCAACACTCATGCAAGTCTTGCTGCACCCCAAACGACCAGAAACGCCCCAAGCTGTCCAACAACGCACCAACACATGGGTCGATCGTTGTCGCTAACACTGAATGCTGCATTACTTTTGCAGCCGCTTGGTACATAGACTGGCCAGCGGCCAACAAGGAGGTGGAGAGCGGGGATGACTTCTCATGCGACCATTCCCCAACTCATCCCCCAGTCAGTCGAGTGTCGTAGCCATCTTGGCTAAGGTTGTTAGTGTCAAGTAACGTGCGAACCACAGCAGTCATGGTGGAGTGTCGACGCTCACGGCCAACGACGACGGCGACGACGACGACGGCGACGACGACGACGGCGACGACGACGACGATTTGTTGGCCTTCGGGGGGGTCCCTTGTCGCAGCCCTGTCGGAGGAACGAATCACGACACCACCAGCGGTGCCACCTGCAGCGAGGAGGGGATACGGGGTTGTCTCCACAAGCTTGGGGACAGGGCATAAGGGGGTGTCTACAGCGAGATGGGCGACTACACCACCAGGAGGACCCTCCTGGCGCCTCGCGCTGCTGGTGGTGGTGTCGCCTTTCCTTGCTCCTACCCCGAGGTCCGATATCCTGCATCGCTGACCACCTCGAGGATTTGCCTGCTTCTTTGCCCCTCGGGAGGAGCGCACGAGACCGTGCCCTGCCCGCGGGGCAGGGGCGGGCCCGCGGGGCAGGCCAGGGGCGCGGCTCTGCTGCCAGGCGCTCTCGGCTTGCAAGTGCCGTGTGCCCACTCCCGCGGTGCCCTTCTGCGTCTCTCGGGCTCAGGTTGCTGCTGCTGCTGCTGCCGCTGGCCGGGTGGCACAAGTTCTTCGTTTCCAGCGGTAGTCGGCAGTGCACAGATGGGCTTCGGGCAATCCGAATTCAACCTGAGATCCCTTCCTACCCGCAGGCACCATCCCTCAGGGTTAAGGGTTAAGTCGTTGAACCGTCGAGGTGGTCTTTCCCACATCTTTCCCAGCTTTCCCCAGGCTTTTGCCTCGGACCTTCCGAGTCCGTCGCGACCCGTTCACGAGGCCATGGGTGCTCAGGGCAGGACAGCATTGGTCCAGCGGGGGGGGGGCCTAACCAGACCTTGGGGGGAGCTCATCAGGGTTGGTTAGGGCACATCCCTAAGATTGTCATCGCCTCGGGCTTGTCAAGATGAGGTCGAACAAACACCAGCAGCACAACGAAGACCTTTCGGAGGTTCGCGCGGATTTCCTGTAGTTTCGCTGGACCCCCCTGGCGGCGCCTCCAGCGCCACCCCTGGCGCGCCAGGGAGGGGGCCCAGCACCGATCCAAGAAATCCGCGCGGACTTCTGAAAGGTTCTGTTTACTCCGATGTTGGGGAGTAGCAGGAGGAGGAGGAGCGAGGATGAGCAAGGAGGAGGAGCAGGAAGAACGAGGAGGAAGAGAAGGAGAAGCAGGGGGAGGAGCGAGGAGGATGTTTGTTCTTCTGTGGAGGCTGATGAACGATCCCCCCCTGAATTGCCTGAGCAGGTTCGGCGACGGGGACGGGCAGTCCCTGTCGGGCGCGGCCGCGAAGCAGATGAGCAAGAAGGCGTCCATGACCATCGAGGCGCTGGAGGAGGCCGAGAAAGCGCTCAACCAGAGGCGCCCTTGCTGGGACGCCCAGGGGGAGGCCCCCACCTTTTCTCGTGGCGACAAAATCACGACGGGAGGTTTTGGGATGTTTTCGGCCTCCAGGGGCCCTCGCCGTGCCATGGGACACGAAACACGGCCCAGGATGGGAAACTGGTCCTGGGGAAGGGGTCCGGACCTTTGGGAGTCCACGTTGCGAAAATATCACGACGCTGGAGGTCTGAGGGGTGGGTGGGCTCGAGCGTTCGCGGACGCGGCCAGCATACGCATCAGTTGACGGAGGTCCGCAGATGTGTCTCACCGAGCGCGCACCGCTTTTCGCAAAGTTTCTACTCGGACCGTCCGGAAAACAAATGCCTGCATCGATGTAATGTATCACAAATCCCCCATGGCGGATCCAGGCCATTTGCAAGTAGTTACTTTGAGAGTAATTCGTAGAACGCGCTTGTCTAGTCGTGGTTCGGCGCCGGGACCCTCCTGGCGGTGCCTGCAGCGGGCCGCCTCCGAAAAACCATGTTCGTATTGTTACCTAACAGCGAAGACTGATAGGTTTCTAGTGGTGTCAAAAGAGAGCATCTGATGACTCAGAAGGGAGGTCTGGGCGGCATCCGGACAGCGAGGGCCGGGCTCAGGGCCGGGCTCGTTTTAAGCAAACAGTCACACACTTCGTGCTCTTCGACCTCCCAGAACTCCATTCCTGGGCCACATTTTGAATACCCGGAGCCAACTGTAGGCCACTTCGTGCTCTTCGACTTCCCAGAACTCCACTCCCGGGCCACATTTTGGATGCTCGGAGCCAACTGTAGGCCACTTCGTGCTCTTGGATTTCCCAGAACTCCATTCCCGGGCCACATTTTGAATGCCCGGAGCCAACTGTAGGCCACTTCGTGCTCTTCGAGTTCCCAAAACTCAATGCCCGGACAACATTCTGAATGCCCGGAGCCAACTGTCGGCTACTTCGTGGTCTTCGATTTCCCAGAACTCCATTCCTGGGCCACGTTTTGAATGCCCGGAGCCAACTGTAGGCCACTTCGTGCTCTTCGAGTTCCCAAAACTACATTCCTGGGCATGATTTTGAATGCCCGGAGCCAACTGCAAGCCACTTCGTGTTCTTCGAGTTCCCAGAACCACATTCCCGGGCCACATTTTGAATGCTGAGGCAGATGCAGGCTGAGGCTGAGGCTGAGGCAGGCTGAGGCTGAGGCAGGCTGAGGCTGAGGTCGAGGCTGAAGGCAGACTGAGGCTCAGGCTGAAGCAGGCTGAGACTGAGGCTGAGGCTGAAGCAGGCTGATGCTGAGGCAGGCTGAGGCTGAGGCTCAGGCTGATGCAGGCTGAGGCTGAGGCAGGCTGAGGCTGAGGCCGAGGCTGAAGGCAGACTGAGGCTGAGGCTGAAGCAGGCTGAGGCTGAGGCTGAGGCAGGCTGAGGCTGAGGCTGAGGCTGAGGCTGAGGCTGAGGCTGAGCTGAGGCAGGCTGAGGCTGAGGCTGAGGCTGAGGCTGATGCAGGCTGAGGCTGAGGCAGGCTGAGGCTGAGGCTGAGGCTGAAGGCAGACTGAGGCTGAGGCTGAAGCAGGCTGAGGCTGAGGCTGAGGCTGAGGCTGAGCTGAGGCAGGCTGAGGCTGAGGCTGAGGCTGAGGCTGAGGCAGGCTGAGGCTGAGGCTGAGAGGCTGAGGCGAGGCAGGCTGAGGCTGAGGCTGAGGCAGGCTGAGGAGGCTGAGGCAGGCTGAGGCTGAGGCTGAGGCTGAGCAGGCTGAGGCTGAGGGCTGAGGAGGCAGGCTGAGGCTGAGGCTGAGGCTGAGGCTGAGGCTGAGGCTGAGGCTGAGGCTGAGGCTGAGGCTGAGGCAGGCTGAGGAGGCTGAGGCTGAGGCTGAGGCTGAGCAGGCTGAGGCTGAGGCAGGCTGAGGCTGAGGCCGAGGCTGAAGGCAGACTGAGGCTGAGGCTGAAGCAGGCTGAGGCTGAGGCTGAGGCAGGCTGAGGCCGAGGCTGAGGCAGGCTGAGGCTGAGGCTGTGACTGCGACTGCCTTTGCCACTGCGACTTTCATCGCGAATGCGACATCGACTGCGAGAACAGCAGAATTCTTTACGCTTCGCGTATCCCCACCAGCCCATCTCACAGCAGCAACTCTCGCGAAGCATGCCGAAGTTGTTCTCCTGGCTGAAGAGGCACGACCAGGAGACGGGCAACATTCCGAGCATCTAGCCATTGGCCAAAGGCATGCCCATTCGGTTGACGGACAACGTCGATCGAAGCAGACAACTCTACAGACACCGAAAGGGAGTGATTTACGGATGGACTTTGGCGCCGGAGTGCAGTCCCCAGGAGATCGATGGCGAGTTCATATTGGATAGGTTGCCCTTGGTGATCTACATCCATTCCCCAGAAGCACAATGGACAATAGGGAAGCTGCCGACGGGCGTATACCCGTTGAAGCGAAGATCCAGGACCTGGAAGGTCAACAAGCACACGGGCATCGAAGCTCGACGCACGGGCTTCTGGATTCTTCCCGACTTCGCGTCCACCGCTCACATGATCCAGGGGGCGACGTTGGAAGCGGCATTCGCGGACCTGCAGCATTGGTCCAGCAGGGCGTCCATGACAGCTCAGATTGCTGCCTACGTATGCTTGTCCAGAGTGAAGCGATTGTCAAACATCTGCGTCATGCAGCCGTTCTCCACTTTTCTGTTCGGCCTCGGCAACCCAGTGGGGCCCGAACGTCTGATGCGGAAGCTGTCTGGCCAGATCACAGCAGACGAGGCGATCCATGAATGGAGTACGCTTGATGACGAGGCCGCTGAGTGTGAGAAGATGGACCCCATGGCGAGGCAGCACCTGTGCGCCTGCTGCTACCTCAAAGGGAAGCAGGAGTACATGCTCGACGCTCGCGACTTCGGCATGAAAACAGCCGCCGACTTCTACGAGAAGTATGTGTCGCAAGGGAGGTGGACGAGATGCATGGATTGCGCGCGCGAGAGCTGCCCAATGCCTTGTCCGTCTGCGCGGGCGCCCGAGGCTTCCCAAGGGGTGGCCGATGGCAACGCTCCAAGGAGAATCCCGCCAGATCATTCAATATGCAAGCGGCGTGTGGAACGTGATGACTGGAAGAGGAGCCTGACCCCGCAGAGCCACGGGTGCGCTGCTTGCAAAGATTTTTTTGCCGAAGGTGTGTGGGGCCCGAATATTCTGAGACATCATCGGTCTGTCGATAGAGACCTCGTGTGCCCCGGCTGCGCAGAGAAAGGGTTCGCGCCTGGCAACATCGAGGAGCACCAGTGCGAAGATTGCTTGGAGCACTTGGGCAGCCTTGCGTTCGACAAGCACGTGTTGTACAACGCGAAGAGGCAAGAGAAGTCCCGTTTGGTGTGCCTGGACTGTCAGACGAAGCTGCGGTGTGGGAAATGTACAACGAAGTACTGGTCGAAGTCTGACCGCAAGAATCACGCGTCTTCACAGGGCACAACTTTGGTCTGCAAAGCATGCCGTGCTCTGGGATTCGACCCGACGGATCTGGAGACGTACGCGCGCCAGAGGTGCACTTGCAGGTTCGGCGCCCGTAAGTTCAACAAAACGCTACTGTGCAACCGCAAGCATCACAACCGCATGAAGCTACAGTGCAAGGAGTGCGTCGCTGACGTCGAAGAAAGAGTGCGCCACCTGCGCAAAGCACTGCAGAAGAACCAGCGAAAGTGCAAGTGCCATTGCCGCATTCACCAGGCCCAATGCCCGCTGACCCCGTCTTTTTCGGAGAGAAACGTTGGCCGGGCAGCGACGGAGCGATATCCGCCGAGGACCGCAAGTTCTTGGACGAGTTGCAACCGATGCCAGAATGGCGGAGCAAAGCCTGGGGGCGATGATGCACGGCGCGGAGGCCGTCGGCCCAGACGTGTTACTGGGGACACTATCCCTGGGTAGAGTGAGACTGAAGACGGGATGTTGCCTCAATGGACTCGAGGGTTTCTCTGCGCTTCTGATTTCTTGCAGCCGACATGCTTCGGAGAGCGTGGGATCGTGTAGGAGGTGCGGAGATTCTCGGCGTGGGCGTTTAGATGCCCCGGTTTCTCTGCGCTCCTGAATTCTTGCAGCCGACGTGCTTCGGAGAGCGTGGGGTCGTGTAGGAGGAGCGGAGATTCTCGGCGTGGACGTTTAGATGCCCCGGTTTCTCTGCGCCCCTGAATTCCTGCAGCCGGCGTGCTTCGGAGAGCATGGGATCGTGTAGGGGGGGCGGAGATTCTTGGCGTGGACGTTTAGTTAGATGCCCCGGTTTCTCTGCGCTTCTGAGTTCTTGCAGCCGACATGCTTCGGAGAGCATGGGATCGTGTAGGAGGAGCGGAGATTCTCGGCGTGGACGTTTAGATGCCCCGGTTTCTCCGCGCTCCTGAATTCTTGCAGCCGACATGCTTCGGAGAGCATGGGGTCGTGTGGGAGGAGCGGAGATTCTCGGCGTGGACGTTTAGATGCCCCGGTTTCTTTGCGCTCCTGAATTCTTGCAGCCGACATGTTTCGGAGAGCATGGGATCGTGTAGGAGCGGAGATTCTCGGCGTGGACGCTTAGATGCCCCGGTTTCTCTGCGCTTCTGAATTTTTTCAGCCGACGAGATCCGGAGAGGCTTGGATCGTGTAGGTCGAAAGCGCGCTCCGATGGCTTCGGACGCCTTCCGAGACGCCGACCATTATACCAGGAGGGCCCAGAAGCACCCCAAGACACTCCAAGAGGCATTCCAAGAGAGCCCCGAGAAGCAAAAATCCCCCCATTCCTGGAGGGAAAACGTATATTTTTGTTTCGGAGGTTCGCTTCTTCAGCTTTCACCGCGTCCAAGACGGCCCAAGAGGCTCCCAAGACGGCCGAGGAGGTCCCCAAGAGGGCTCCAACGCGGCCCACGAGGGGCCCAGGACGGCCCAAGAGGGCTCCAAGATGGCCCAAGAAGGCCCCAAGACGGGCCCGAGAGGGGGCCCAGAGGGAGAAAGCCATTCTCACAGCAGCAACTCTTGCGAAGCATGCCGACAGTCGTGTTTCTCAGGCGTGTGTCCGCTGGGCCCCGCATATCTCCCCTGTTCCTCCGTCCTCCCGCCTCCTTGCACATCCTCCTTGTGGGGGGAGCGGGAGAAGGACGAGGCGGAGGAGGAGGGAGAGAAAGCGCTCCTCGTGATTTGAGTCGTTTGGGGTTTCTCGTCCTGGTGTGAGTCGTTCGGGCCCTTCTTCCTGGTGTGAGTCGTTCGGGCTCTTCGTGGTGTGAGTCCTTCGGGCTCTTCGTCCTCGTGAGAGTCGTTCGGGCTTCTCGTCATCCTGGTGTGAGTCGTTCGGGCTCCTCGTGGAGCCTCTTGGGGGGCCTCTTGGAGGCTCTCGGGGCCTCTGGGGGTCCTGACG